CCTCCCCACCCCGGCCCCCACCCCTGAGCGGTGGGTGGGGGCCCTAGTAAAACAATAAGGGGGGGGACCTACTGTCCGGCCCCCACCCCTGAGCGGTGGGTGGGGGCCCTAATAAAACAATAAGGGGGGGGACCTACTGTCCTCCCCCCCCCGGCCCCCACCCCTGAGCGGTGGGTGGGAGCCCTAAATGAAACACCTCCCCCCCATTCAAGGTGACTAGGGGTCCCAAGCCCCTAGTCACCACCCCCCCACCCCCACCCAAAAAAACCTATCCCCTACCTACCCCCCTCACCTTACAAATAGTGAGGGGGGGAATAAAATAACTAACCTGTTAAAAAAAAAAATTAAAAAATTACTTACCATTTGACGTCTTCTTTTTTCTAAAATCTTCTTTCTTCAGCCCCCAAAAAGGCCAAATAAAAATCCATTACACCCGTCGCACAAAAAACAAAAAAAAAACAAAACTAGCGCAAAAAAAAATTAATCCATGTTCGCCCTTCGAGGGCACGCCGCATACTGAGCTCCGCAGGGCGGGTCAAGGCTTATAAAGCCTTGCGCCCTACAATTAACTTTAGAGCACTCTGATTGGGTGGCTTGAAAGCCACCCAATCAGAGTGTTATGAGTCATTTACACAGCGTGGGAAAATTCAAAAGAACTTTCCCACGCTGTGTAAAATGACTCAGAGCACTCTGATTGGCTTAAACCCACCAATCAGAGTGTTCTAAGCCTAATTGCAGGGCGGGGCAAGGCTTTATAAGCCTTGACCCGCCCTGCGGAGCTCAGTATGCGGCGTGCCCTCGAAGGGTTTTTTTAAAGTGCGACGGGTGTAATGGATTTTTATTTGGCCTTTTTGGGGGCTGAAGAAAGAAGATTTTAGAAAAAAGAAGACGTCAAATGGTAAGTTTAATTTTTTTTTTTTTTACAGGTTAATTATTTTATTCCCCCCTCACTATTTGTAGGGTGAGGGGGGTAGGTAGGGGATAGGTTTTTTTGGGTGGGGGGTTGGTGACTAGGGGCTTGGGACCCCTAGTCACCTTGATTGGGGGGGGGGGGGGGTTTCATTTAGGGCCCCCACCCACCGCTCAGGGGTGGGGGCCAGGGGGGGAGGACAGTAGGTCCCCCCCTTATTGTTTTATTAGGGCCCCCACCCACCGCGCAGGGGTGGGGGCCAGGGGGGAGGACAGTAGGTCCCCCCCCCTTATTGTTTTATTAGGGCCCCCACCCACCGCGCAGGGGTGGGGGCCAGAAGTTCCCCCCATATCTTTATTTAGGGCCCCCACCCACCGCTCAGGGGTGGGGGCCGGGGGGGGAGGACAGTAGGTCCCCCCCCTTATTGTTTTATTAGGGCCCCACCCACCGCGCAGGGGTGGGGGCCGGGGGGGAGGACAGTAGGTCCCCCCCCTTATTGTTTTATTAGGGCCCCCACCCACCGCTCAGGGGTGGGGGCCGGGGGGGAGGACAGTAGGTCCCCCCCTTATTGTTTTATTAGGGCCCCCACCCACGGCTCAGGGGTGGGGGCCAGGGGGGAGGACAGTAGGTCCCCCCCCTTATTGTTTTATTAGGGCCCCCACCCACCGCTCAGGGGTGGGGGCCGGGGGGGAGGACAGTAGGTCCCCCCCCCTCATTATCTTCATGGCCCCCACCCGCCGCTCAGGGTGGGGGAGGGGGGGAGGACAATAGGTCCGCCCCCCCTTATTGTAATTTATGTCTTTTTTTTCAACAGTGAGCAGCCACAGGCTGCTCACTGTTTAGTGGACATGCCCCTACTCGCGGTATAGCGAGTAGGGGCATTTGGGAGATTTTAATCCCCCTTGTGCTATTATGGGGGTCATATTGACCCCCATAGAGTGAGAGGGGGACCTGGGGGGGCTTATGAAGTGGTGGGGAGCACTGCTCCCTGCCGCTTCTATAGTTACATATTACAAGGAGGGAGCTGCACGCCGGTAGCTCCCTCCTTGTAATAAACTGCACGAACAAACAAACACTGATACTCAGATACACTGATACATTGTGTTTGTTTGTTCGGCTGATATTTCTATTCATTCATTCGTCTGTCTGATGAATGAATGAATAGATGAAATTCCCATTCGCATGTCCAGGTGTTTCACTGGGCATGTGCGGGAATCTCACAGTCTGTCTAGTGTAGGCTGATGACGTGTCCCACAGGGACTTCATCTACCCACACAAAGATGGCGGCGCCCTGGATATAGATCGGGGCAGAAAATAAGGATTAAAAAATAGGTAATGTGGGGGGCTTAGGGGCATTTGGGGGTGACTAGTGGGTCAATTGGATGTAGTGGAGGCGGGAGGGGGGTTAAAAAAATAAAATAAATGGGATTCAGCATGACAGTGCCGCTTTAAGATTTTGCCTTCTTTTGGATAAACAGCATAAAAGAATGAGCTTCGTGACTGAACGTGATGAATTTCAATCTTTTTTCAACCTAGACAACTATGTAACTAGGAATTGAATCATTAAGACATTATAATGTAGCAAGCCATTTGATTAATAAGAACTGTAACTGTAAATGAATAAATATATGAACTAGATACTAAGTTTCCTGGAGCAACTACCGTATATACTCTAGTATAAGCCGAGTTTTTCGGCACTTTTTTGTGCTGAAAAACCCCCACTCTGCTTATACTTGAGTGAGTGTCTGTATTATGGAAACTTACATTGCCATAATACAGAGCAGGACCGCCGGGCTCATTACAAACCTGGCGGTCCTGTTGGGGGCTGACAGTGAGCTGTTACTTACCTTCCTGCAGCTCCTGTCAGCTCCCTTCTCAGCTCCGTTCTGCTTACAGTGTAAGCCTCGCGAGACCCGCGAGTGTCGCGAGATTTACACTGTGAGTAGAACGGAGCTGACCGGGGAGCTGCACGGAGGAGAAGGGAGTTGACAGGAGCTGCAGGAAGGTAAGTAACAGCTCACTGTCAGCCCCCCCACTGGACCACCAGGGATTCAAGATTATTATTTTAATATTATTTTAATATTTGCATTATTTTTTTTTTTAAATGTTTTTTTGTCCTCCCTCCCTGCTTGTTGCCTGGCCAGGGAGGGGGCACAAAAAAACATTAAAAAAAATAAATAATGCAAATATTAAAATAAAATAATATTAAAATAAAATTAAAATAAAAAAAATAAAAAAATGCCCTCCCCTCACCCAGTTTACACACACTGCACAAACACACACTGCATTATATACACACTGCATTCATTATATACACACACACAACCCACAAACACTCTGCATTCTATACACACACTGTAAATAAATATTCAATTCAATTAATGTAATTTTATTGGGATCTAATTTTATTTAGAAATTTACCAGTAGCTGCTGCATTTCCAACCCTAGGCTTATACTCGAGTCAATAAGGTTTCCCATTTTTTGTGGTTAAATTAGGGGCGTCGGCTTATATTCGGGTCAGCTTATACTCTAGTATATACGGTATATAGAGTTACAAATCCCACCAATGAAGATCAAGATGTGGTCACAAAGGATTGAAATGACTGCACTTAGAGCAAAGGATCAGGTGTCAAAATCCAGACGAAGCTTATGGGCGAAATACAGAGACGTGATGACGACAAGTGGGTAATCGAAAAGAGCTCTGAGCAATTTGTCTTTAATTCGAGACATTGAGCCGATCTTCTAATCCCATATCGAATGCGTGATTTGTGAGTAAAAGCTTTTTTGGCTACCTGAGGCTCACACACTTTGTCTGTAAGAGATTGCTATTGTTTTTAAAGGGGCACTATAATCACCAGAACCCGTTCAGCTTAATGTAGTGATTCTGGTGTCTATAGACTGTCCCTGCAGGCTTTTCAAAGAAAACATAGTGATTGCATTGCTGCCTAGTAACACCAATAGGCCACTCAAGCTGCCACTAGAGAGGCTTCCTAGTCCAGTGCTGGACAGTGTGCAGCGCTAGCATCTAGAGTCTCCACGCATTTTATGGAGACACAAACATTCTATATAGAGATGCGCAGACTTTTGCCGCCCATGTGCAATAGCCTCCCAATGATTTCTTCTGGGAGAGGCAGAGTGAGGTGGGGCCAGCCGTGGCAAGACCAGCAAGACGTGGGAGTAAAATCACTTTTTAACATACATCGGAGGGGGGTGGAAAACTAACCATCCACTTCAGGACTATAGTGTCACAAATGCATGTTTGTATTCCTGATACTATAGTGATCCTTTAACTTCTGTAGAAATAAAGTTGTATATTTATCTTTGATGGACAACCTGGTGCATTTAACAGAGAGGCTGGTGACTATCTCATAGTCACACATGCTTATAACGCCAGAGTTCTAGATTGTGGTATGAGCTATCTGCACTATGTGTCCTTTGTTTTATTTCCCACCGCCTAAAGTGACACCAGGAAATATAGTTTAAACCTAGTGCTATATATGCCTAAAAATTATGAATTCAACATATATCTGTAAAACAAGATACTGGTACATCAAAATATAATGTGCATGATAAACAAGGTAAACTCGAAACCAACTTTAAAATAGTTTCAGACAAGATTGGAGCATTTTTTAGAAACCTCCATAGGAAAACTATAACAACCACAGTCATAAAGCCAGAACTGCATGAGAACTTTCTTCTGCACATACCTGCCTCCCAGATCCATCAGAACTCCATATTAGCTATATAATAAAAGACATGCTAGCACATACCCTGTGCTACGTATTTTGCATTAAAAGACAGTCAAATCGAGCATGTCACATGCTTTTAACCCCTTAAGGACACAAATTCTGGAATAAAAGGGAATCATGACGGAAAATTTCCATCATGTGTCCTTAAGGGGTTAAAGCAAAATGTCTGAGATGTTACAAAACAAATACTGGAACTACCAGTTTCTCTGGTGGGTTTGGCACCCCTACTAACAGTAAGTTAGTAACACTTACTTTCTACTAATTCCCTTACACTGCATGTCTAGATTTGCTTATGGGTTTGTTTTAGCAAACATGAGATTAAATATTTTCTAGTTTATATTTCATGCTATAAACTCACATTTTTTTCTTTCCATGAATTTGCTTATTGGATCCATGAGATCTTCGCTATTCTTTATTTTGTCAGAAGGAAGTACAACAGGCTCTCCATCCTCTAAATCATCCTCGTCTGTGTTAAACCACATTTCCTCTTCATCCTCTATAGAGCGGGCATCTCGTCGATACCGGTGATTTCTTAGTATGGATCGCATGCTGCAGAGAAACCATTGACAAAAAATAAAAATATACAGTTAGAACATGGAACTAAGAACAGTTTTTTAAATCATTTAAGTTACTACTGCTGTTCAGAGACTGTTGGAACTGTAACCGGCAGAGGTAAAATACTGAAAAGGCACTCAATTTCTGCTAGCAAGTTTGATAACCAAAAAAAAAAAAAAAATGACAAAAGGGAGGTGGGAGGTTAATCTCTTCAAAATGGATGTGCAAAAGTACAACAAATAATTTATATTACTTTTCTTCATACAATTTATTTTTGCTGTTTCTCTGGTATTACTTTTGTTTTGTCAGACAGGCTGGAGGATGCCCAGTTTCATATGGTAGAGCTATTATACCCAAAGTGTTAAATGACTTGAGAACCAAATTGTACAATTTAGGAAAAAAATATGTGTTTGAAGGTTTAAGTGTCTGAACTAATTTACAGTTTAATACAGCAGGTGAAGTTTCTTGACTATAGGTAATCGATGTAGAATTCCCCACCAACCCTTCTGCCAAAATGGAATGATAAAAATCGCTTTAGTTAATACTCCTGTGCTTATTGCATTAAACAAGTCAATACTATCTGTCCTGGTATGAACCATTATATGTGACATAACCTCTTTTACTGCTGTGGGGGTGGGGATAATCTTTGTAACAAGCCACAATTCTGTGCAGTTACTATCCAGCAGTTTTACCTGTCCAACTTAGGGTTGTCTTGTCTCTCACGCTGCTGATCGTATCGCAGTTTGAGCCCTTTAAATGTCTGCACATATTCAATGTCTTCTAATGCCTTCCAGTAATTCTCAATTATGTGGGCTGTTAATGACTTTATGTCTTCCTGTTAAATAACGAGGAAAAGAATTAAATGTAAAAGTGGTTACACAGCTTCAGATACCGAGCACAGTTTCTAACCTAAACTTTCCCTCTACCCATTGACTGCATAAGTATGGAAATGCCATCATATCATACAACTGCCAAAAGAAGATATATTTTAAAGGAATACGATAAGCACCAAAACAACTTTAGCTTAATGAAGCAGTTTTTGTGTATAGATAATGCCTCTACAGTCTTACTGCTTAATTCTCTGACATTTAGGAGCTAAACCATTTTTGTTTCTGACCAGCCTGCATGATAAAAATGGTTTCATTTTCAAGAAAGAAGTGACAGCACTATGGAAGTTTTTATTTCTTGCTCTGTTAAATAAATTTTATTAACGCACAGGCGGCACTGGTTGGCTTAATTCTAAATTAAAAAGACTGTGCAAAAAAGGAAGTTAAAATAGTCAACCTATCTTTACAGTAAATGACTGTAGGTCATACTTGGCATACCAGTTGTCTAGGGGTTGTCACAGACTTTCTGTCTAGGGGTTGATTTGTACTTACCAAGTTAGTCATAGAACTAGGAGAAACTGTTTAAAGGGACACTATAGTCACCCAGACCACTTCAGCTCAATGAAGTGGTGTGTGTGTCAGGTCCCTCTAGGGTTAACCCTGCCTGATGTAAACATAGCAGTTTCTGGGAAACTGCTATGTTTACATCTGGAGTTAAGTCAGCCTCTAGTGGCTTTCTTCCGGACAGCCACTAGAGGCGCTTCGGCAATGACTGAGGCATATTATGCCTCAATCACGCAAAGCGTCCATAGAAAAGCATTGAAATATGCTTTCCTATGGACACTTTGAATGCGCCACGCATGCGCATTCGGCGCCGGTAACGTCAGACAAGTATGCTGACGTCAGCGGGGGAGGAGAGGTAAGGGAGCCCAGCGGGGGAAAAGGGTGAGTAGCTGTAGGGGTTGGGGGCACCCTCAGGCTACTATAGTGTCAGGAAAACCAAGCGGTTTTCCTGTCACTATAGTGTCCCTTTAACATATTTGAAGTATTTATTACAGTATAGCGTATGGAAGGCTAACACACGGGATTACATCAGACAAGCATTAGTGGAGCAGTAGCAGATGTAACAATGTAACAAATATTGGTGTGTAAAGGCAAGAATCTTAAAGGGAGTATTAGATCACAACCTGACACACATCAAAGTAACTAAACAAATGGAGAATAAACCAACACAACACAAAAAAAATTGAGAGTAATCGAAAGGATTGTAATGGAGAGGTTTCTTAAACTCCTGCCTGTCCTTGATATGCAGCATCTCCTGGTTTAATAATTTTGGCTTTAAATAGTATTTAACCCCTTAGGGACACATGACATGTGTGGCATGTCATGATTCCCTTTTATTCCAGAAGTTTGGTCCTTAAGGGGTTAATCCGTTTCATTTAACTCATATAGTCTAATTATAATTTATGATATTTGGCACAACTTTTAGGTTAATACTTGCAATGCACCTAGAGATGTTAACATTGTCTATCGTGATACGCCCACAACATGCAGGAGAAGTGTGACTATGATTGCATAAACAAAGTGATTCAACTCCTAAATGTCAGGGAATTGAGCAGTGAGACAGTTGGGGATATGATGGCTTAACCAAAATCACTCCATTAGTTGTTGAGTTGTTTTGATGCTTATAATGCCCCTTTTAATTTCCTAAAAAGCAATTCACTTTAGCTAGGACTCTTCCTGCGTAAACAAAATATGTATGTTGCAATTGTAGTGAATGGGATATCCCCTTTTTATTTGCCGTTATTAATAATTGCTCTCAGATACAATTTGTTATTCATTATTACATGTACCTTTATTGACAAAATGTTGTGATTATATTTTCAGTTTGTCATTCATTTTGTACTTTATAACATTTTCAATCAAGTGCTCAAGAAAAAAACAAAACAAAAAAAAAACCCCACTAATTGTAATAATAAACCCTAGTGCCAAGAACAATGACCTGACCATCTCTCTAGAAAACCAAAATAATGCAAATAATACATACTGGCATACGCTATACATATATTTAACACCTCTTGAGCCACAGTGATGTTCATCACCAAAGGATGACCCTTAACAAAGGAAAGCAATGTAATACTCCAATAAACACTTACCACTCGAACATATTCAAAGATTTCAATGATGGCAGAGTTCATTAGATTATATCTGGAACCATTATTAAGAAATGCCTTTACAACGGGCTCAAACAAAAAACTTTTCACAATGTATCTGTTATAGAATTCATCCTTCAGACCAACAATCTTCCTCATAAATCGCAGTGCACCTGCAAATTTTAAAAATAAATACATGATAATCGCATTGTGCTCTGCACTAGGATAGAATTAGATACAGATTGTATTTTGAAACCTTATGGTTTGCAATTTTTTTTTTTTTTTTTAAGGCCCCCCCACCCCCACTAAAATACTGGCACCAGTGCACAAATGTAAGAAGTTTCATTCTGTTTCAAGCATAACTGCTAACACTCCAAAGCACCTAGGAGAACTTAAAACCCTTGGTCCACAACTTGTTCCCCTACTTCTACTGGCAACAAACCTTAAACTCATTAGTACCCTGATACGTCCTTTAAAAGGAAAATATAGAGAGTGTCTACATGCTTTTACTGCCACTGTATGTATGATAGATATGTGAACATGTTGCTGATCCAATGAACAAAATCTGATTGCATTATGGAGTCAAGAAGGGATTTTTTTGTGATTATCTGCCTGCACCCCACTCTGGGGGACAAAAAAATAAATAAAAATACTCCTTCAGATTGGGGTGACCCCTGGGGTTTACATTAGTCAGTCACAAAAGTGACTGACACTGTGCTTTGCCAGATGCCCAGCACAGATCACTAGGTGAGCAGGCACTCTTTTTTTAAATAATCTTAGTATTTCCTTTTTATCAAAAGTCCTCCAATTTTGAGGTTTATTCATTGGTCTGGAAAACCGTTAAGAAATGACAACTGTAACGCAAATTGTTGGCCTACATTATCAATTTCTACTGTTATTCTGTGCATCCTGAGAAGTTTAACCCCTTAAGGACACATGACATGTGTGACATGTCACGATTCCCTTTTATTCCAGAAGTTTGGTCCTTAAGGGGTTAAACACCAGTTAAAAAACACTGTTTTTAATTTCTGTTAGTAATGGCTTTAGACATCAATGCATTATTAAATTCAGTACCTATTCACAATTCTTTATTATCTTTAGAATGGCAAATTAAGTTCGGAAACTCACATAAAGCCAGGAACGAGTGCATGGAAGACATAAGCACAAGCACTCTGCGCAGAATGTCCTTGTTGATGATGTAGTTCTTTATGTGGTAAGTGTGATGCTCTACACAAAACGTCAGCAGTTCAAGGATAAGCGCGAGAAGCTGGGCAGTCTGGAAATCATCTAACAAAAAGAACAAAAAACAAAATAAAATAAAAAATACATGACAGATAGTCAAAGTAACCAGAGACTGTTTAATCTAGAACTACCTACAGCCAATCTCCGGAATCAGTAACTTTGCACAAATTTTTATCAATAAAAGCACCATGTGTGCTGTTGGTGGATTGGAACATACAGAGGGAAGCATATGCATACTATTAGTGTACATCAGCACAATAACAGCTACTTTCATGGTATCCATATGCTATCCTCTATATGTGACGCAGTGAAATAAAACTACACTCCTATTAAAATGCAGATGTGGAGAGACACCCCTTTCCCCAATACAATACAGTATCAAAATATACTGCCTAACCTTTGCTAGGCTTGTCCTCCGTGGTATTGGCCAGTAATGGAGCGGTGAGAACATGCATGCAGTGTTTGTAGAAGAATCCCAAAAATTCTGTCTTCTCTGTTTTCTATGAAAATAAAATAATTTCATTGATGTTGGGTTGCAGGAGACAGCCTGGCAACAGCGACACTGATCTTGTCATCACTGCAAACATACAGTGCGAAACGGGACTAAGTATAGTGTCTATGTAGATTGTTACAGAAGGAAGAAATACAGTGAGAATAGTTACAATGGATTGAGTCATGGCACAATCTAGATGTGTAAAACAGAGGAAACATTACAGAAAGCTACATTATAGTGTAAGAAACTAACTTTACAGGTCGATACAATGTATAGAAAGAGACAAACCGGAAGCAAAATAACATGCAGGAAGCTGGCGACATTCACTACAGAAACAAAGACAGGATAAAGTGGGACAAAGCCATTCCAAAGTGATAGAGAAAGTTCAAGAGGTGGCAGAGAGAGAGAACAGTGGCAGAGACTACAAGAAGCGGCAAACTGTGACAAAGAACCCAAGCAGAAGCGACAGAGGGCAAACAGAAACCCAAAGCAGTGGCGACAGAGATGGCAAGTAGCTGTTGGTTTTCTTCCTTACACTGGTTGTTGCCAGCATGTTCTCAGGATCGACTAAAGTGCGAAGAAGTCCTGTGAGCTGTACAGCACCTCCAAGCTCAGGATCGGCATCACAAATCATATGTTCTATGATGAGATTGATCAGCAAAATATCCTGTAAAAGATTTTTAAAAATGTATAAAGTTAGCTAAAGAGAGTTAAAAGTTAATATATACTTTACCTGAAACATAAAACTGTAAAAGAATATCACCAATTATAAAATATATCGACAGATCAACATCACAAGGTATCATCATTTTACTGTAAGACTTCCGTTGCATGTCACAGATTAAATTGTTATTTACCATAACATTTGGTATAGCAGGCTCTTGAAAAGTGCCGTGAAAAACATAACCCTTGCCTAGTATGGAAGACATTATTGAAACACAAATACCATAAACACTACAGATCATAGTAATGATAATGCTATGTAAATAGAGGTGCTAACTTCCCAACCTCCCCTCTCCCCCACACCACCCCCTTTTTTTGTCAAACCTAGTTTATGAGCTGTTTTACATAAACAGAGACTTTCTCAACCATTCAAAGCCCAGCCTCCCTGCAGCTGCTCTGAAATAAGTGGAAGTTTTACGTTTGGGATGGAACTCAAAAGACCAATGACGCCATAAACACTACCATTAGCTGTATTAACATTTCTTAAAGTGTCCCTTTAATATTATACTGAATAAAAGGATGTTTTGATGTGATGAGAGGAGCTACTTACATCGTCATTTTGCTGGGCCTCCTGCATAACAAACTCCCGGACCATGGATGGATTATATTCAACCAAGTAGGAGAAAATATCAGTGGCTGCACTTCGGACCTGTGCGTCATCCATTCCCTGAAACGAAGAAAAGTGCTGTAAAGCTTTAATTGCAGTGCTTTAAAAAAAGATCCGGCTTTTAAAGGACAACTGTTGCCTCAAAACCATGTTAAATAGATTTGTTTTTAAAAATATATGTAAAAATAAATCCCAATTCCTACCTTTAGTTTATATTTAATCTCTGCTTCTGTGCAGGGAGTGAAGAAAGGAAGACCACAGAGACGTTCCACAGAGATGGTCTTATGTCATATACTAAAGGTAAAGATTTTTTTACCATTTGTTTTTCATTTACTTCATTTATATATATCTAATTTCTCTCAAAACTTGATGAAAGATTAATATCATAAAAAAATAAATAAAAAAAAAAGAAGGTGTTGAATGACAGCTCTCATTTAACTACACTTTGGAGAAGGTTTACAACAAATGCTTATAAGCCAAGATCTTAAAGCGGCACTGTCACGCCGAACTTACCTTTCTTCTATCGTTTCCACTTCCTCTCTCAGAATCTGTTCTTTTCTTTATTCCTGATCTAGTTTTCTTTAAAGTAGGGACTACTTTGTCTTATCTATATTTCCTATGCTTGACTTTATTTGTCCAAAGGAGGAGCTTAAGTCAACTCCATTTTCTGTGTCAGAGAAAGTACTTATCCTTGACACAGGAAAAGGAGTTGACTTAAGCTCCTCCTTTGGTCAAATAAAGTGTAGGTAAAGACATAAGACAAAGTAGTCCCTACTTTGTCTTATAGTTTAAATAATACTAGATCAGAAATAAAGAAAAGAAGAGTAGATTCTCAGAGAAAAAGAGAAGAGGAAACAATAGGAAAAAGGCAAGTTTGGCATGACAGTGCCACTTTAACACAAAAGTAAGGTGCTAATGCAAATTTATTTTTACCCATCTACTAGGCCCACAGCATACATAGTGTGTGCAATAAACAATCAGCAAGGGGTCCACTTTTAAACTGGTATTAAAAATATAAAAATTATTAAATATTAAAATTAAACATGGCCTAAAGTAAACTAGTTCTATGTCTTTGGAATAGACATTTTCAGTCTTGCACATGTAAATGGTTTTTCCCTGATCATTCAAACCCATGCTAAAACCGGTATTAATTAATAAAAACACATACAGGACAAGGAAGGAAGGACAGGCGAGGAAGGAAGGGTGGGTGAGGAAGAAAGAAGGAAAAGGAATGATGGAAGGAAAGGAAAGGAATGAAAAAGAAAATTTAAGGACGAACAGGTAAATATAGTTCCTTTTTGTGAATCACCTTCTCATGTGAGAACATAGCTTGAAAAGATACCACAAGAACATTTCCCAGCAATTTGACACTGCATTTTCCATGCACTTGAATGGAAAAATGTCATGTAGGGATCATACTTACCAGAATTACTTCCAAGGCTGGCAAAATGCCCATGTTAGACAGGGTCTTGAAGAATGTGTCTCTATTCTGAGGTTGCAATGTTTGAGAGAATGCACAAAACTCCTTCAGAAAATTGACCTGAAATGTAGAAAAAGCAGTTAAACCAAATTAAGTATTAAATGCATCACTTTAATAATTACAAACATGTAAGAAATGCACTGTAAGAACATAAGCAACATTAATGACACCCACTGAAATTAATTTGCACTGGACAAACCACTTTTAGAAGTGATTTGGGCTGTGAACGAAAAGCAGGGCACCTGTTTACATGGCACTCGAACAAGTATGGCATTGGCACATTGGTGCCTGAACTTACTAACCCAGCTAGAAGTTCAGTATCAGACAATTTTGTTGGAATTTCTGCAAGAGAACCATCTCCGAGTCTGTCTGGATGTTAGGGTGATGCAATTTGTCAGAAAACTATGCCCTCTTCATCTCAATGGGGATGGGTAAACATGGAGGAAAACTAAAAGTGACAACCTAGGAAACAGTCTGCAGCATTTTTGCAATTCCTCGCAGAGAAGGACTGGAGCATTGAATTAGACTTCATACATACCAACTCTTGTCTCTTCTCATCATCTGTGGCTTCATCAGTGAGGTGTGCAAATAACTCTGTCAGAAATTTCTCATCTTCCTAAAACAGGCAGATAGACAGGAGGTCATTTGACTTTGAAAAGCATGTCAGTCTCAGATATTTTTTGAACTATGAGACAGAACTATGTGTGTTCTTCAGAGGTTTCAGAGAGTCTCTCTTTCGGAGGACATGACACAAAATGTGTGCCCGGTAAGTCAATAGATGACAAGATGATGAGTAAATTAATTTAATTTGTACATTATGCTAGCAAAATGAACTGCAAACAGACAATTATATACTTACCTAAATTTTCTTCGGATTGTGTAGTAAAATATATGAACACCCATAGACAGTAGGCTCAGTCTAATTAAGTTATTGCATGAGCTATGTGCATAGCATTCTGGGATATATGATGCATTTCACACTGCCTGCCTATAGTTTTGGTGTTTAGGTTTGTAGCACAGGAATATAATATTACTTCTTGTGTACAGATTCTATATAATTTTTTTTTTTTTAAGCTACAATTTCATTACTAAAAGGACCACTATAGTGCCAGGAAAACATACTCGTTTTCCTGCCACTATAGTGCCGTGAGGGGGCCCCCACCCTCAGGGTCCCCCTCCCGCCCGGCTCTAGGGAGAGGAAAGGGGTAAAAACTTACCTTTTTCCAGCGCTGGGCGGGGAGCTCTCCTCCACCGATCCTCCCATTCGGCTGAATGCGCACACGCGGCAAGAGCTGCGCACGCATTCAGCCGGTCACATAGGAAAGCATTTACAATGAGACAGCCGCTAGAGGAATTGGAGGAAGGATTAACCCATAATCATTAAACATAGCAGTTTCTCTGAAACTGCTATGTTTATTAAAAAAAAATGGGTCAATCCTAGCTGGACCTGGCACCCAGACCACTTCATTAAGCTGAAGTGGTCTGGGTGCCTAGAGTGGTCCTTTAAGTGTTTTGTATCACAAAGTGTCACTATATTTTTTATGAATGAAAGGCAAATTATAATGCACCAATAATTGCACAATACCTCTATATCCATGGGCGGGGGGGGGAAAGAGGGGGCACTTGCTCCTCCCCCCCCCGGATTTTTCAGCTTGTGCTGCAATTTTTGGTTTGTGTGAGAATACACTGCAATACCGGCGGCGGCCAGTAGGCACTGTGAATGTTAAAAGGCAGGAAGCTACAGCTTATCCCTGCTTCTTGCTCATGACTGAAACCGCAGGGGAGCAGCACAGAGGCAGCCTACAGATCAGGTGAGGGATGGGGGGCACTATTCCCCTCTCACCATCACCTCCCTTACTATTACCCCCTCTCAGCATCACCACCCCTCAGCATTCCCCCTCACCATCACCCCCCTCACTATCACCCCCTTTCACACCCTCAGCATTACCCCCCTCCCTCAGCATCACCCCCAGCATTACCTCCCTCACCATCATCCCCTCACTATCTCCCCCTGACCACCCTTAGCATTACCCCTCAGCATCACCACCCTCAACATTACCCCCCCACCATCACTCCCTCAGCATCACCCCCTCACAACCCACAGCACTACCCCCATCACCCCTCCCTCAGCAGCATTACCCCCTCCGCCACCATCACCCCTCCCTCAGCATTACACCCCTCACCATCACCCCCCCACCATCACCCGCCTCTCCCTCTCACCATCACCCCCCTCTTTAAGCAGCTACCCCATCCACATAGGATACCAGACAAAAACACAAACATGCTCACAGAGATATACATTCTCACACACACGGATACTCTCTGTCAGACACTCTCAGGCACATACACAGGTAAACGGTGCATCAATGTGTATGTGACAGTGTGCATGCATTGCAACTCTATTTTTTTTCACTTGTTAGTGGGGCCTCATGTTTGAGTTTCGCCTAAGGCCTCATAAAGTCTAGAGCCACCTCTGCAGAAGGAGCCTCAGAAGAAAAAGAAGACTGTGTCAAATGAAGGAGAAAAAGAGATTGGAGAACTTCATTCTGGACACCACATCATAAGGCTTTGGTACCTGGGCCTGGCAGTGAAAGTTTGGACCTTCTCATCTCCCAAGGTAAAAAATAAAATAAAAAAAAATTAAAAAAAATCAGTGTTAATGTGTTCACTTTAATTTACTGAGTGTCAGGAAACAGAGGGCCGCTGGGTAGGGGTTCCGCTGATTGGCTAGAGGGTCAGCTGGCACTGTAAGCCAATCAGTAGCTCCCCATTCATGAAAACGTAAAACATTTTTATGAATCGGGAACTAGCGATTGGCTTAGAGCTTCAGCTGACCACTTTAGCCAATCAGCGGCACCCGTGCCTGATGTCAATCTGCACTTCGTGACACTCGGTTTAAGAAGTTGAATACCACTGAACGACCTGGAGATCTGGAGCTGGAGGAAGCCTTTGGGGGTAAACCATTTGAGAGTGGTATCACCCCTTAAAGGAAAGAGAGCGCCCAGGGGCCTCCTTGCATCATAGCATTTTCATTTAGTTGAAGTTGTTATGGTGACCAGAATGTTCCTTTAATTTGATTAAAGGAACACTATAGTGTCAGGAATACAAACATATATTCCTGACACCATAGTTGTAAAAAAGCTATTCACCCTGGCTTTATGTGAAAATGACTATGCTCCTTCCCTTTCATGACACTGTCAAAAAAGGGCCAAGCATGGATGTCATTACAATTATGCCCCTCCCTGGAAAAATTCCTGCGGACGCCCATGTCTATATCTCCTGTTTTAGAGTCTTTGAAAGACATCCAGGAAGTCGCAAAGCACCAATCACAATGTTGCTTCAATTAACCAATTGTTTTTTGTTTGTTTTTTCATGTTATCCACATCCATATAGTAAGATACCACTGGACATGAAAAGATGATACATTAAGGAGTACAATAAAACACAATAAAAAGTACCATTGAATTATTTACATACATAACACTTTTAGCAAAACACAACTAAAAACAAACTTAAAAAAATAAAACAGAGAAGCACGCCAGACGCACAATACATGGGCTCCGTGTTACACTGAGAAATCCCTAACAATAAACCACCCACAGCGACCCAAAAACAGTGGCACACCCACCAATGGGCTGCAAAAGCAAGAAGCTAGAGCCAGACAAGCCAAAGACGGGCGTGAACATTGGGGAACTCCTGCGACAAGCGCATGGCGTGAGCGGACCCAAGATGGCCGCCGACTACTCTGACTCCTCGGGTGAATCGCTTCTGGACAGGGAGTCACCTCCCATACCACATCCCCACCGTGCCCAGGCAATACCTCAGAGTGCCGACACCCAGCCTGTGACCACGGCCACCCTGAAGGAACTGCTGGCAGGCCTCCAGAAAAATCTGCAGGCAGACATGCGCTCTGAACTCTTGGGCATTGCGGGTCACATCGAGACTGTGGAAACAACGGCCACGCAACAATCCACACAGATCGCCTCATTGGAGGACGAAATGCGGCGCCTTCAAAGTCAGCAGATAACCTTTGAACAAATGTTTGCCCTCATGGAAGATGCATGGCGCCGAAACATCAAGGTACGAGGTGTTCCAGACGAAATACCTGCAGAGGAACTCCCTCACACGATACGGAGACTGCTCTGTGCCTTGCTGACCCCCAAACAGGCCAAGAACATCCACATCGATGGGGCTTTCCGAATCCACAGAAAGCACCTGCACCCGCCACTGGAGACATAGTGGTACGACTTACCTGCAACAGGGATAAGGCAGCAGTAATGGCGGCACTGAAAGGACTATCGCCTTATCGGTTTGAAAATATGTCACTGATATTTTGCACTGACCTCTCAGAGGACACACTCATATGGAGACACTCCCTGCAACCCTTCACAGCAGCACTTGGAAATGGTGACATACCCTACAGATGGCGCACCCCTCGGAAACTACAGATCAAAAATGGCAACGTCACCCACAAAGTCAGAGATCTGGATGAGGCGGCTGCCCTGCTGGCAACCCTAGGCCTCCCGCAGGACTCACTTACCAGGCCTAGCAAGAGAGGTGCCACAAAACCGTTGCATGCATGGGACCCGGCAAGGGTCACCCCCTTTATTTCTGCAGACAGACGTGCCACAGCCACAACCTGAGTAGACTGTTTATATTACAATTGCTTGCCTTATTAGTTAATGCCTGTTTATGTATATGTTTGTGTTCACAATGATTCCGATGCTAACACACCCCAATAGCCACTGACGATGGTCACTATGGCCCGACAACCGAGAGCCCAAAATCTCTCCCCCCCCCTCCATTCACCCTCGGACAATCCCAAAACCACTTAATTTGCACCCAGAGGCGTAAAATTCATAAGACCCAGAATACTACCCAGGTGTCGATGACGCACCAACCCCGATACAAGCGTTCCGAAACCCACGCAGTCTCCAGCCTCCACGCTATGCTATCCCTTATCCCCTGACATAGACCTCCGCACATACATCCCGTAGCCCACACTCCTAAAAACCAACCACAAGAGTTAGAGACATATGACTTAAGGAGCATAACGATGCCCATACTGAGGCCGCCACCCAGCCGGCATAGGAGACGCAGGACCAAACGCTCCCATTGCCCTGACAGTCCATTCCACTCAGTGGACGCTAGTGCCCAAGCCATTTTATCATGCACAACCTTATAGAACCCTTTTTGACAACTAATGTTATATAAGTCACTCATGCTGCTAAGCAGTCGTAAAATACTAGCCCCAGGCTCCTCAGCCCAGCTTAAGCTTTTTGACCAACATATACATCGTTACCACAGCAGCTGATTTACACAACACAAATGTTTGTGTTGTGTAAATGTTCATTCCAAAAAACTAAAATGTGCAACTCAATCTTGTCACGATAATGTAAATGTTGATAAGCCTGTCCTGCTATCGTGGCACCTCAGGCCTGTTTGTACACCCTATTGCACAAAAAAATAAAGAATTTAAAAAAAATAAATAAATAAAAATAAATAAAACAGAACCCAGCATCATAGTATTAACAGTACAGAACTGTTGCAAAGCACTTTCCAAGCATGTTGATATTTATCAAACAGAAGATGTGTCATGAGAAATTATCTTTACATCATCTACTCGACTCACTATTACTACTGGCATGCTCCAGTGGGCTTCAAACACTGGGTCGAAACTCAATCAACTAAAATGAGCAAGCTGATATTTAAGAGACATTGTGGGAGATTTATCGGTTCTAAAAGGTGGTCTTAAAGGAACTCTCCAGTGCCAGGAAAACAATCTTTTCCTGGCACTGGAGGTCCCCTCTCCCTCCCACCTCACATTCCTGGTTGCTGAAGGGGTGAAAACCCCTTCAGTGACTTACCAGAGGCACCGACATGTCCCACGTCGCTGCTTCTTCCTCCGCTCATGCTCCTCCCCTTCATCACGTCAGCCGGCGGGGGCGACTGATCGCGCCCGCCGGCGGTGGAGACCTAATACGCATGCGCAGCAATGCCGCGCAGGTGCATTAGACCTCTCCATAGGAAAGCATTGAAAAGCATTGAGGAAGTGCCCTCTAGTGGCTGTCTAGTAGACAGCCACTAGAGGAGGAGTTAGCCCTGCAAGGTAATTATTGCAGTTTATGAAAACTGCAATAATTACACTTGCAGGGTTAAGGGTAGTGGGAATTGGCACCCAGACCACTCCAATGGGCAGAAGTGGTCTGGGTGCCTGGAGTGTCCCTTTAAGTACTAAAAATTAGGCAATCACCATGGAAATAATGGAACAAGCAGGCACACTCCATTTGCAAAAACGACATCTTTTACATTGTTTACACCATTTTTTAGAACAAAACACTTTGATAAATCCTCCTCAAATACAGATTCAACCCCCCCTTGCCCCCCCAATATTGCCTGTTAAAAAAAAAAATTGCTAAGGTAATATTTATTATTATGATTTTTTTTTATTTTTTTTTAAACAGCCTGCAATATTCCACCACATTTGTCAGAAAAAATTAGAAAACCCAAAAAAAAAATTCTTTAAAAAAGGGGGGGGGAGGGGGGGGTAGGACAAAGCAAAGCAAAATACGAGCCAGGTAACAGCTACTGTCTTAAAGGAACACTCCACACAAATAAAGTACTTCCACTTGTTGAAATGTTGTGTGTGTCTGGAGTCTGTCACAGTTTATTAAGCAGCCACCCCCTGGAGTGCAGTAAATGAAGGAGGAACGTCACTTGCAAAATATTGATCAGTATGGTTTAGGTGGTTGTGTCAATATGAAGCGTTTGTATATTTTTTAACCTATACCATATGAAATGAGACGCTCTGAGAGTAGTAAATCTTAAGCATTTTACACTATACATGGCAATAGATGGGTGTAAACGCATACCAGTTGCAAGTTTAAATTTAACAAATGTCACTTCTTGAGCTAATGTAATGAGCATGAGCATATTCAATGAGCTGTGGTGGCACAAGTTCCATGATGTTCTCCAATCATCCCAAACTGAGCTATAGATTAACTGATTTTATTCTATAAAACTTGCAGACATACCCTGCAGTTAGATGCGGTTGCCATATTTATAATGCATTCCTAAAAAGAGGCAATGGCTGTAGAACAGTCTTAAAGATTTTTATACAGCATGTCTGCTATGGGAAATTAGGTCATGGGTTCATTTAAAGGAACAATATAGTGTTACAAAAACAAGCTGTATTTCTAACAACATAGTGCCGCTCTGACCCAATTCCAGCAACAAACGGGTAAAACAGTTATCCAATTCCAGATCCTGCTTTTCCGTGACATCACAAGGGAGAAATTAATGCGCATAAGGCTTTTCCCATGGGAAAGTAGTGAACCAGTGCTTTCCTATGAAATTTTGCAAGATGATGGACGTCCTCATGCAAAGCGTGATGATGTCCTGCGTGGTTCTGAAACAGCAGTAAGTGCCTCTAGTGGAAGTCTTAACCCCGTAATGCAAACATTGCAAATTCTCTCGGTTAAGGGGACAGGGACACTGCACCTAGATCACTTCAACAACATGAAGTGGTCTAGGCACCCATAGTGTCCCTTTAAATAGTAAACCACTATGAAAATGTGATTAAATTGTTGAGGACATCAAATTTTAAGTTAAACTTTTAAATAGGCAGTGGGGTTGAGAAGACATTGCAACCCTTTTGTAACCATGGAGTCAAGTAAATATATAATTAACAGGTAATTGGAGAACACTGTGGAAATTGCCCTGCAAATACGCAAACCAGTAGGATTACATACACAGTAGCCAGCAGGAGCAAGCAAATGGAATTTGGGTCCTTCTAAAGCTCAGAGGAAAACCACCATTTGAAAGGATTACATAATTGACCACATACCTGTAACATGCCAACTATCTCCACTTTGTTAAAAAATATGAAGGAGTGAAGCGTTGACAACATGTTTTCTTCAAAGACAGAGGGGGTGGGCAAGACAACATCTTGTATATATTGAACTCTATATGTCTGATGGATTTTCTGCTTAAGTTCCGGGTCCGATATGGGAATCACCTCTTTAAACTTTGCGGTTTTTGTTAGAAATTCCCTGTGTTTTCTCTGCATGGGCAAAGATGGGTCATATTCTAGGCATCCAATGATGTCCATTATGCAGTCTTCAGAAAACATGACCTCAAACAGTGCAGTTCGGTTTAAGAGGAAGATACCCTTTATAATTTCGTACAAGTGGTGCAATCCTTCAGTGTTCTCCAAATCTTCACAAACATGGAAGAGTTCCAGGAGCTTTTTGATGTAGCCCTCATTTTCTAGGGCTAGTGCAAGCTTCTCGCGGCGCATTGGAGAAGGTAACGAAGAAGCCACAACCTCAGCTATCTCTTCGAGGCGACTCAGCTCAGAGGGTGGTAACTCCAAGCCAGGTGAGGACATGTCATCAAATCGTTCCTCTTCAGACTCATCTACCAAGTCCTGAGTAATGTCCACAGAGGGGTCCTTCCCTTGAACCTTAACAATAGAAAATCATGAAGTAGACTTTAACTATCTCCTAAAATCACCAAGGCACAACAGTTATACAAACTTGGCTTCCAGTTAGACATTCTAATCTAGAAAGATGTATCTCATCATTGCTTTATCATAACTTTAGAACGAAAAAGTTTTACTGTTGTTGTAAATAGCTTACATAAAAATGATTGAAGTGTTTTTTTATAGTAAAAAAATATTTTCCTTAAGTAAAGTACCTGGCATATTTTCTCCCAAATCTCATCACAGCCAGCCTTTTCTTGAAAACTAAGTGCCAGGTCATAGTTTTCTGCCTCCGACCACACGATCAAAGTGTCCTTCAATGAAAGATATTGTTTAATTCCAGCTAAAAATTTAGACAGTAGAGAGTATTAACCAGCACAGCAGAATCGACAAACATTGCATCTACCACTAAATAGTGGGCATTGCTAAATATTTTCTCTTGGGAAATGCTTTATGTCTAGAGATTGTCCTCTTTTTTCCCCATTTTACAAACGCTGCAAATTTCAAAAGAAATTGGCACTTTTATAAATTAACCTGGTTACACCCCGTAGCTGTCAAACAGACAACTGGTTGTGCTACTGCCTGGTTGTTTAGCTCAGTGGAGCTAAATCCAAGAGCACCTGACTTGCAAAGACTTCTAACTGAGCTGCATTGGGAAGTCTGTGATTGCACAACCACAGAAAGTCATTTCCCCTTAGGGGTATGCTCTTTTTTTTTGCCAACGGTTTAGACTTTAATGGCTGTGTTGAGTTATTTAGAGGGGACAGCAAATATACACTGTTACACAGGCTGTACACCTACTACTTTACATTGTAGTGTCATTTCTTCAGTGTTGTCACATGAAAAGATAATAAAATATTTACAAAAATGTGAGGGGTGTACTCACTTTTGTGAGATACTGTAGGGCTAGTATATATACACACACACACACACACACATACATACACACACACACACAATGAAAACATTTATAATTAAATGTTTGTTTTCATTGGGGTATATATCTATTAAATTGTGAAAAAATACAAAGATTCCCCCTTCAGAGTGAAAGGGGTAAAGGATTTCACAAGCCGTACAGGCTCTTAGTGGTTGTGAACAATACTGCCTCTCTATCCCTCCTATACTGCACATAAGCACCAGATACACATTTGATGGAATGGAGACATCTTTTCTGATATAAGCTATGGGAAAAATCCCTCTCGAGTTAGGCTACTCAAACCCAGAGCCAGAGGTGATGGGGCTCTGGCACATGTGAGTTCTCCCAGACACAGCCCTGTATCTCTATTTTGGTGTTACCAGGTAGTCTGCACCATTATTATTTATTCCAGATTGTATACTTGGAAATACTGTACTTTTTGCAGTTGATAGCGCGCTCTGTTTTTGGCATTATAAAACTGCAACTCAACTTTGTAATGTGATGGGGATGATTCTTATTGCATGAGGAAGCATTATGACCATACCTCAGCCAAAAAGAGAGGTGAGCTCACTTTTTGCAAAGTCCCCTAATAAGAATACCTGGAGATGCTATGTATTTCCTATTTAAAACCACTTGAAGCCTATCTGAAACCGCACTGAAAATAAGTAAGTAAGAAGTAAGGCTCTGTAAAACATTTTAATAGGACCCAGAAAAGCATCAAGCCTTCAGCAGACAATTTCATTCAATGACAATAGTTTAAACCTGGTATAGGTTGGTCTGATAAAATAGAAGTTCATAAATCTATGAATTTTCAGATCAACTTACATTAGAAGGCACATGGGCACCCAACACAGCATGGTAAGATTCAAATGGTTAAATCAATGGCTTGACAAATCACTGGTGACTACAGTGCAATGCAATGGATATCAAACCTAGAATGTCCCTTTCATAAATAAGTTCATCATAATGAAGCTATGGTGCAAGAGGGTGCAGGGCACCGGCTACCTAAAGAGGTTAAACCATTAACAGTTTAACACTAAAGTCTTCAAGTCAGCTCCCAATAACTCTGTGCCTGAACTTATGCTAAATGTCCAAGGCACCGGTCTCCAGTGAGAGTGGCTTCCAACTGAGAAAAGAGTGTAAAAAGGTACATAGCAGCCACACCTCGCCCGAGGCTTCCGGACTGAATCCTAATACATTGAGCAGAAGTTCTAGGGCAGAGAGATTGGGCTTGACAACTTTAGAGTTAAACTGTTAATTCATTAATGATTTATCACCTTCAGGTAAGCCAGTGCCCGGGACCACATCACACCTAAACTTTGTTCCAGTGGTCCTTTAATATATTTCTTAAGACCAGAGTTTACCATAAACTGAAATATATGTTATAGATTTACTTTACATTTTAGGTAGTCTTAAAATATTACCATTTTATAAAGAGTGATTTTCTCACTAAAGAGACCTATTCCTTTCATATTTGATCCAATGTTATAAAATATAATTATACACATGAAAGATTTACCTGCTGCTTCTGATAAGCTGTGTTGGGGTTAATTTTGGACTCCAGTAAGAGAGAGCCTAGAAAGAAATAAAACACAAAAAATATAATCATATAAAAAGAAAGTAGCAGTTTTATGGCCATAACAGGACTTAATCACTGGAGATAATACGCACTCATTCACTTTCATGCACACACACAGGCTTTTTCGGATTAACTAGAATTCATACTCGGGTCAAAGTGCACACATAGACGAGAGATGTGTTACCATTACATAACATGAAAGATCATGTCATTAACATGAGTACTAACAGACTGCACAGTTTCTCAAAAATATTAGATATTAAATGTAACATAATTTATGAACAGTTTAACACTGAATGAGGGTCCTTAGCCACCCACAGCCTGGTCCCTACTCAAGGTATGGATAAGGCAGGGATTACTATCTGCCTTAGCCATACCAAGACAAAAAAAAAAAAAAAAAAAAAAAAAAAAAAAAAAAAAAAAAAAAAACAATGGGCAGCTATGATATGCTGAGAGTGGTCAGCTGACATTCTGAGACAATCATCACATCCCACTACAGCTCAACAATTTAACAATGAATGGAAGGACAGCACCAGAGAACGCCAGGTAATATAACCACTTCAATGAGGAGAATTTTAAAGCAACACTAAATAAGTTTTAAAGAAGGATACTGCAGAACTAGAAAATGTGTAGAGGTGAGCTACACAATTAATATGTAAAATGGAAAACAGTTCTAAAGAATGGCTAGAAAAAATTAGTTTTCCTGCTATGCGCTAACCTGTTTATTAGCAGGAATATACAACAGACAAGAGGTCACCCATTGAGGCTTATAGTAGAGGAAAGGGTTCTTTATAGCAATAACAATGAAGATGTGGAATTTTTCCAGAGCCAATGCAGATTATCTGCTTTCAGGCCAATTGTCGATAACTGGTGCCAATATTCGGTACATTTAAAGTTTCAAAAAGTAAGAATTTCTACATGTATCTGGCATTAACTTAACATGCGGACAGCATTAGGTAGAGGCAGCCAGCACATGCTGGGTTCAGGGAGATCCCAACATGAATAGTGCTGTTGCCGTTACTTGTATCACTCTGCTAGCCAGCCCAGTACATTACACCATCTCTCCCTGCCTTCAGCTGAGCTCTGCATACAGGGGCTCAAAAAAAGGGGTGACGTGAGGTCACGACGTGGCGCTTTCTTGGCTGGTGGCTAGAGATGCAGAAGGCCATTACCAATTATTGGTAAAATTAAGTTGTGTGTAACTTTTGCTACAGTATCTTTTTGCTTTGTAGCATAAAACAGACCTGCAACATAATTTTCATTTCAGTGATTTTCAGATTGGGTGCAGTCACAGATGGATGATCAGGCGGCTGCATTGAGCAAGTCTTGGAGATGGAAAAAAAAAAATAGTCCAGTCAAGAGAACACTATTGCAGGGCTCAACAAATTCCATTTTGATTTGTCAGCTCATTCCCTTCGAGAGGGGTGGCGGGTGAATGAAGGCGGGCAGCTGCGGAAGAGTGGGGGCGCGTGGACGGAAGGTTGGAAGTAATGGAGCCAGGTAGTGATGCAGCTGTAGTGTCCTTTATCTGCTCCCTCACGCACCCTGCTGTGAGGCTGGGATCCAAAATATGGCTTCATTATTCAATAAACAGCGTGCGAGGGAGCACAACAAGAATAGATTGAAGCTGACCGGAGACCCAACTAGAGTCCAGGTGTGTCCAGTGTTGTGTGTCTTTCAATATGGGTGTATCGGTCAATGTATTTGTCAGCGTGTGTTTGGGTCTGTCAGTGAGCGTGTAAGTTTATGTGACCTGCCCCCCTATGATCACATGGGAATGGTGTTTTTACTCATGCTGTGCAGATCTTGTTACGGCTTGCCTCCTCCTCCACGGCTGAGATACAACTCAGCCAATCCAATGCTTTCCCATAGGCAAACTGCTCTGTCAGTCAGCATCGAATCAATGCACCTCTTAGGGGAATGTTCAGCGCCTCCATGCAAAGCGTGGAGACGTTGAATGTAGGTGTTGCACACTGTTCAGCAATGACCCAGGAAGCCCCCGTGAGTGACTGCCGCTCTGAAAATGCCATTACATTGAAAAGCCTGCAGAGACAGGCTATATAGACCATAACCACTACATTAAGCTGTAGTGGTTCTAGTGACTATAGTGTCCCTTTAAGAATTGTATTTTTGTCGTTGGGGAAAAAAATTAAGCTTTGTTAAAAAATAAAAAAATACGGCCGACTACGGAGCTGGATAGTCGCATGTCCGTGGAGCTCTGCATCGGCCCCACAGACTAAGAGCCTTAAAGAGGAGAAATCAGCTCCAAAAACGCACAGCTTACCTGCCACCCGACAGCCGACAACATGGGGCGCAAACATAAAAAGCAAACCTACACGGAGCGACCCGCGGCACCCGACATTAGGCTGGCATTCCAGAGGCCTACACAAGCGCGGCCCGCCAAGATGGCGCCGGAACCGCAGAGTGAGATAGAGACCTCTGACGACTCCCAGGAAGAGAGGGACTCCCAAGCCTCCCTCCCGGGCCCCACTCCTAGGTCTGACTCGGAGGAGGATGACTCCCCATCAACAAAGGGGGACATCAGAAAGCTGCTGATCGACCTAAGGCAGGTCTGGAAGGCAGACTTACAGGAGACACGTGCTGAAATGGGAGTCTTACAACAGAGAGTCCAGGAGGTGGAGAACAGAGAAAGCTCCAGAGACCACCAACTCCAAGACACCAAACCGCAACTGGATGATCTTAAGGAGAAGGTCCGACGCCTACAAGGAGCGGTGGTGACACTGGAAACCAGACACCGCCGCCGCAACATACGCCTCAGAGGTATCCCTGAAACGGTGAGCGGTGAAGACTTACTGCCCTTTGTCCGAAGACTCACCTCCCCCATGAGCCTCAGGTGCAATTCAGACACCCCACTGATTCTGTCCGCCTTCAGGGTGCGCAAATCACCAGCGGCACCCGAGTGTGCACCCAGAGACACAATAGCTACCACCAGGAACGTAGCTGCGAGAGATACCATCATGGCCAGATCCAGACCATTGGGGTCGGTAAAATTTGAAGGATGCGAGGTAGCCATATACAGTGACCTCCCGTTTGCTGTGCTTGTCGCAAGGAGACTACTAGCACCGGTCACTAAGAGACAGAGAACAATCGGTCCGGTACCGATGGGGCACAGAGGGATCGCTAACAGTACAAAAGGGCACCGACGTACTCACCCTAACCTCGGGAGACGATCCAGAGACATTCCTCAAAAAACTAGGCATATCAGCCAATGGACATAGAAAGCAGAATGAGAAACGCAATATTTAACCGCTATAATAATGTTTTGCATGTATATAGATAAGCTTATATGGTCCGGGAAAGATACTTACCATTTCTGATACTCCTAACCCAGCACTCCATGCTATTACCCTAAATACCTGACCCCACGCATATAGGATAAGCTGGAAGATTGTTAAAAACTAGCAGCCTCGAAATTAAGCAACCTCTTTAAAGGGGGACCTCCGCAGAAAGATAGAAATGTACAAATTGTTTCTTTGCTAGGCCACAGTAAAGGATCTCTGACATTGTGCTTGTTATTATGCATGTAGCCCAACGAAATGTTATTTGAACCTGTTCTAACCCATATAATAATATAATAACACATATAATGGAAAAGTGTATACTTTGTGTACAAAACCAAATAAAATACAAATTTAAAAAAATAAATAAATAAAAAATACAAAAAAAAAAACCTGTCTCCCAACATTTTTAGCTGGCTCCTAGAGTCAAAGCAAATTTGTCAAGCCCTGCGCTATAGTGTTAGGAATACATTTGCTCGCTCATTTAGGTATACAATAGGTTTAATCACAAAGCACATTTGCATTTGAAAAGGCTATGCTTTTATTTCTGAGTGCAGCAATAGTAAAGTACTGATAAGGCTAAAAAGGTTGCAAATCATACATGCTTGCAACACACCTCAAAACTTCATGGAAATGTACAGAGCAAAGTTCACACTACTCTAGCAGAAAATAAAAGATTACAAATCTACAACTTGTTATGTGAAGTATATTTATGATTGATTGACAGAAAGGCAATGTCAATTATAAGACTTACAAGTGCATGAGAGAAATAATTCCTATTTGACAATACATTTCTGTCAAAACAATTCGAGATTATGGGCACATCTCAGTTTTTCTGTCGTAACAAATAAATGTAGCCAAAGTGGTTATTGGGCTTCAAGAGCCCTTTTAAAAGGTTGCCTTGCCAAATATGACAATTAAAATTGGCACTTTTTTTAAATTTAAATAGACAGCCAGGTAGGTGTTTTTACCACCATTAAGAGAGCCAGGGAGGTTTTCTTCCGCTTTCATGAACCCCAAAGAGCTAAATGAAGCAGGAGGCACACTATTAGCGCACGCCTGTCTCCCCCTCTCCTCAATAAACTGTTTAAAGCTCATTAAGAAGCATTGGATTTATTAGATTCCATTTATTATATCTCATATGACTGAGGAGAGACTTTGTTTTGTGGACAAGACAATTTTTGGCAAAAAGTAGCAATGAGCACAGTTTTCACTGCCACTTCTTGACATTTCCTATCAGCAGTCGGTTAACAAGAAAATACATTTTCTCAAGCAATGAGCATGAGATGCATACGGCATCACATTGTGTACATGTAAGAATATACAGAATATACTGCTGGTTTACTAGGCATGCGCAAGAATGCAATAGTGACATGCTCCCAGCAGCTTCATTAGTCAGGAGCTATAAGTCCAGGACTAAAAAGATGATAGAGTCAAAGACAGAGACATTTGTGTAAAATAGATCTACATTTCCCTTCCAAACTATGAGCAATTACAACAAAACAAGTTTGACATACATGAACAAGAGGTATTTACAGACCTGCTAAAGCAAGCTTTGTCAAAAGAAAACAGGGTATAATTACATAAACGTAAAGGTGCAGTGTGTCCAATGATTGTTAAATTGCACTAACAATTTAAGCATATACATTTGCAATATATTCAAAGTAAAACAAGGTAAGTTTTGCTAAATTTTTTCTTACTGATTTTACAGTAAAGAATATACTTTGTATCTACAAAAAGCCATTTTGATATAAAAGGCATCGTACACTAGTTCATGCCTTGCCTTGATACTGAAATTATGCAGGTTTGAATGAGATTTTGGCATGTGTATTTAAATCCGGTAGGCACACGCTTCAGTTAACTTGGAGTTACTTCAATTTAGAACAACAAAAATAAGGGATGCTTGTTTACAAACAATGTGAATATAACGGTTACAATTTTTATTTTATGAATGGGAAATCGACTGATTGGCTTAAAGCATCAGCTGGCCGCACTAGCCAATCAGCAGCACCCCACACCCCGCGTCCTGAAAGTCAATTTCAGAATCTGTATTCCGCATTGGGAACTGGAGATCCAGCACTGGTGGCAAACTTAACGGTTAGACTGCTCATGAACGGTTTAAATTATTCAGGCAAGAAAGCAAATGTACACACAAGGATCAACTGATTTCATTTTTGCAGAGCTGATGCGAATACAGATTATTGATGGCCTTTTTGGGCGATAACCGGTGACAGTACATTTAAAGTTTTCAAAAAAAAAACACAACACAATTTCTACACAGCTGCCATTAAATGAACATGCAACAATTATTCACCTACCACTCTCGGGCAGTCAGTACATGCTGTGAGCACAGAGATCTCAGCAAGTACAGTGTTTTTGCTGATAGAAGTGTGATCGATGTCAGTAATCCCAGACGACATGCACATGCACAGTGCTGTTACTAATGGGAGTATTATTGCTGTCAGCAAATCACTCTCAGTCAACCAGCCTTGTACATTACAGTAATTTATTCAATGTATTACATGTGGGGACTCACTGGGATGAGTACACGAGGTACCCATGCGGTGCCCCTTATTAGACTGTGGCCGGAGTTTACGGAGGCGTGCTGTGACTGGGAGATGTGAGTACGTTATCGGTATTCTCTGTAATTTACAAGGCAGATACGGATTATCAGAAATATTACAAATAGCTCTAATAATTGGCAGAATGGAAAATGGTTCTATAAGTAGACAAGGTACTGCTTAGACTTATGGGGCTTTAAACATTCAATTATAGCTTGATTTATTGCCCCTATTTGACTAGTGACCCCTACATTCTACATTCGAATTTAACTCTAATATTTATATCATATTCTCCTTAGCCACTGCAAACAGTCCTCTAGTAAGTTAGGCAATCAAGAGTTACTTTGCCTCACAATGTTGCCAGCTGGTTTTAGCTAGAAGTGAAAATACTCTTAAAAAATAAGGTATAGATAAGAAATACACTGATGTAATGCATACCATGTGTATTAACATGAGCAAGGAATTTAGAACATGGCCCATACAAGTTAATTTTTAAATGCAAATTGAACTTATTGCACTTTAGGTCAAAAGAGAATGTGTGCGGATAGCTCAATGAAGTGGTCTGGGTGCCAGATCCCTCTAGTGTTAACCCTGCAGCTGTAAACATAGCAGTTTCAGATAAACTGCTATGTTTCACTGAGGGTTAATCCAGCCTCTAGTGGCTGTCTCACTGACAGCCGCTAGAGGTGCTTCCGCGATTCTCACTGTGAAAATCACAGTGAGAAGACGCTGGACGTCCATAGGAAAGCATTGAGAAAGCTGATGTCGGCAGAAGGAGGAGAGTTCATCAGCGCAGAGGGAGCCCGGCGCTGGAGAAAGGTAAGTGTTTTAACCCCTTCAGCCTCCTTCAGCCCAGCGGGAGTGGGGGACCTAAAGACCCTAACACGTTTTCCTGGCACTCTACTGGTCCTTTAAATATGAGCTAGGTTGAAGATGTTTATTTTTAAAAAGTTCCTTTGGACAGGGCCCTCCACTCCTCTGGTTTACATTATATAGTTACATAGGCTGAAAAAGAGACTTGCATCTTCAGTCTCACATGTTTTTGCTGTTGATCCAAAAGAAAAAAAGAAAAAAAATGTATTTGACACTTTTTGCAACAAACCCCACATACTACAAATTATATACCGGAATATTATGTGTTTGCAAGTAGACATATTGAATCACCTCTTCAGGCATAAAATTCCCCATCCTTATTGGTCTCACTGTGCATTTTTTGCTAAATGTTTGCTACAAACAGAGCCATCAATACAGTGATAAAGTCCTGGAGGCATAATTTTTTTTTTAAGGTAACACTATAGTGTTAGGAATACAAAACTGTACTTGAAACACAAAAGTGTTCCTCTGCCCCCTACGCCTTCCCCATAGGATGGGGTTTTGCAAGACGCTGGACGTACTCAAACAAAGGAGCTAAACAGCAGGAAGCACCTCTAGTTGCCGTCTGGTAATCAATCTTGATGATCTCAGCCAATCCAGTGCTTTCTCATGGGAAGGAATTGGGAGGCTATTGCACATGCTTAGTAAAACACTGTGCTGCACCAATTAGCATCTCCTCACCTACATGTATTGAATCTATGGAGAACATTCAGCACCTTCATGCAGAGCATGAAGACACTGAGCCAAGATGCTGTACACTGTGGAAGGAAGCACGTCTACTGGCCATCTGAGTAATTTTCACTAGATGTTACTAGGCAGCAATGTAAGCACTGCCTTTCTCTGAAAAGGCATTGTTTACATTGAAAACTCCAGGGACAGGTAATAGATACCAGAACCAATACATTAAGCTGTAGTGGTTCTGGACTGGTAACTATCTTGTACCTTTAAGAATTATATTTTTGTCATTGAAAATAAAGCGTTGTTAGTTTATTTTGGCTCCAACTTTTTTAGCTGGCTGCTAGATTACAAGAAAATTTGGCAAGCCCTGATTAAACGTAACGGTTTAAAGGAAAAACCCAAGTACTATAACCACTACAGCACTGTAAGAAGTAAAACCAGTTTACAACAGTTTGGCTTCTTACCTATGGTACACAGAGTGGTTATCCCTACCTCTTCTACTTCCCATGGAGTGCTACAAAGACATAAGCAGGAGCTTCTATTAGCTCTCCAGAGCTAAGCCTTGCATTTCAGGGCTAGCTCATTGGCTGAGAGTCAGCAAGTCACTCTCAGACAATAAGCTAAGCACTGCACCACCAGGCGTAGCTCATAAAAAACATTCCAGCTCTCCATAGGAAGTAATGGAGGTAGGGAACGGAGCCCAGCAACGCCAGGTACGAACTCGAACCATTCTAAAACAATTTAACTTCTTACAATGAAAGGACAAACTGTGCTGAGGGAGTTATGGTTTGACGACTTCTACAGCAGCCTGTAATGATTAAGGTGATTGGAGAGTTCCTTTTTAAGAAATGATGCACTCCTGTCATGAAAATTGTTTTATGTATAACAGCTATTTAAAACATTGTCTTATGGCTGGCAATTAGTGATGACCGCGGACGGCGAACATATGACCCTGTACCTCACAGTCAGCAGACACATTCCAGCCAATCAGCAGCAGACCCTCCCTCCCACCTCCTGGACAGCATCCATTTTGAAGCTGCATTCTTAGTGAGCTGTCCAGGAGGTGGGAGGGTCTGCTGCTGATTGGCTGGAATGTGTCTGCTGACTGTGAGGTACAGGGTCATATGTTCGCCGTCCGCGGCGAACCGTTCGGGACATCACTACTGGCAATGCATCTTGTTAGTTGTAAGTTTACAATGCAAGATTCACCTTATGGTCACATGGTCCTAGAATATCTTACAGTAGTTCATAAGGATTTTAAATATGTTAAATTCTTACCCAATTACTATCAGGGATTAAAATTAGTACTGATGAAAGAACCTCACCTTTACATCTATGTAGCCATTTCAAAATTAACTAAGCACCACAATTGCTACAGCTTATTATACATGCTATTGTGCAAGGAGTTTTTGAGTGAAGGTCCTCTGAGTGTTTAGTGTTTTGTTTTTAAATCAAAATTTCTAAGAAGCTTAACAAAAACCAGGAGTCACGCGCACCACAAACACAGCTTTATAATCTATAATTTCTGGGGGCTTCTGAGTAGAATTTTCATATTTTGTTTAACAAAGTAAATATTTAATATCATTATAATTATATAAGAAGTTTATCTAGCGCCTTTCATCAACAAAACCTACAATTTGGGGACACACACACAAAAAAGTCACAAACTGATTTGGTGTATATATGCTGCTGAAACATAAGAAAGAGTGAGACAATTGCATTTTGGCAATATATCTTAAAAGTGTCAGTCACCCCAGTTTGTTTTTGTGTGTTTTTGCTATTCTTTTCGTGATATCATACAGACAAGAACTTTCTCACCAAAACATAACTGCTACCTTTTAGTTTTTTTATATAGATGATTCAAGTGCTTAAAGGGAATCTATAGGCATCAAAACAACTTTAGCTCTATTAAAGGACCACTCTAGGCACCCAGACCACTTCAGCTTAATGAAGTGGTCTGGGTGCCAGGTCCAGCTACGATTAACCCATTTTTTTTATAAACATAGCAGTTTCAAAGAAACTGCTATGTTTACAAATGGGTTAATCCTTCCTCCAATTCCTCTAGTGGCTGTCTCATTGACAGCTGCTAGAGGCGCTTGCGTGATTCTCACTGTGAAAATCACAGTGAGAGCACGCAAGCGTCCATAGGAAAGCATTGTAAATGCTTTCCTATGTGACCGGCTGAATGCGCGCGCAGCTCTTGCCACGCATGCGCATTCAGCCGAATGGTAGGAACGGAGGAGGAGAGCTCCTCGCCCAGCGCTGGAGAAAGGTAAGTTTTAACCCCTTTCCTTTTCCCAGAGCATGGCGGGATGGGGACCCTGAGGGTGGGGGCACCCTCAGGGCACTATAGTGCCAGGAAAACGAGTGTTTTCCTGGCACTATAGTGGTCCTTTAACCCCTTAAGGACACATGACATGTGTGACATGTCATGATTCCCTTTTATTCCAGAAGTTTGATCCTTAAGGGGTTAAAGGAGATTGAAATTCCATCTATACATTATGTTAGCTATTTTAATAGCAAATGTATAGATTTGGAGAAAAATTTATTCAAGTTTTTCTCCAATCTGACTCAAGTCTTCGGCATACAGTGAATGCCTAGTAATTCAGTTATGGGGAGCAGAAAAGATCACTCTGCTCTCCACTCAAAAGAACCACAGCACATGTGCTATGGTTACTATGGTAACTCCCTAGCCAGGGGAGAGTATGAGGAGGGATTGAACATAAGTTTTTACAGGAAGTGTTTAGAATAGTTTTGTAAGTCATATACAGAGAGGTGAGACTAGATCTGCATGAACAAAGTGATTTAACTCCTAAATAGCAGAGAACTGAATAGTGAGATTGCAGGGACATGATCTATACACCAAAACTGCTTCATTAAACTAAAGTTGTTTTGGTGCCTATAGTGTCCCTTTAAAATTAGGCTATAACGCACATCTGTAATAAACACAAAATGAAAAAGTCATACGGCAAAACATTCCACACCAACAGTTATCTTCTGTTAGGAATGAGCAATGAAGAAGCATGGCTGAAATATGTTGTATAAAAAATGTGCGTTTTTCATGCAAACTGTACACATTTCTTATATAAAGGATGTAACACTGTCCCTTTTATTTATTGCATGGAATAAGGACCATGACTGTATACTGTAAGATTTCCACCACTAAGGGCACAAAGGAATATTGCATTATTGTGTGCTTTGCACTCATTGCATGTAGAAAATGTATTGCATTGAATCAATGAAATGAGAGTATAACATGGTGACCCCCTGTGCTCAGTGCATGGAGTACCAGGGCTAAAGTTTCATTAACCAATTGGTAGCAACAAATTTAGAACTCTGCAGTAAAGCATGGTATACACTTAATGAATGTGATGAGGGCACAAAATGGAGAATCCTCCACTCTGTTCATGCAGTAGGGATATAGCATGATACTACTTCCACTCAGTGCATGGAGCAGAAGATAGCATTATGTACATGTGTATGTAATGAGGCATGGTGTTCCCTTCACTTAGTGAAAGTAGTGATGGTATAGCATTGTACCCCTTCCCCTCAGTCCATGGAGTGAGGGTACAGCATGGTGTCCCTTCCCCTCAGTCCATGGAGTGAGGGTACAGCATGGTGTCCCTTCCCCTCAGTCCATGGAGTGAGGGTACAGCATGGTGTCCCTTCCCCTCAGTCCATGGAGTGAGGGTACAGCATGGTGTCCCTTCCCCTCAGTCCATGGAGTGAGGGTACAGCATGGTGTCCCTTCCCCTCAGTCCATGGAGTGAGGGTACAGCATGGTGTCCCTTCCCCTCAGTCCATGGAGTGAGGGTACAGCATGGTGTCCCTTCCCCTCAGTCCATGGAGTGAGGGTACAGCATGGTGTCCCTTCCCCTCAGTCCATGGAGTGAGGGTACAGCATGGTGTCCCTTCCCCTCAGTCCATGGAGTGAGGGTACAGCATGGTGTCCCTTCCCCTCAGTCCATGGAGTGAGGGTACAGCATGGTGTCCCTTCCCCTCAGTCCATGGAGTGAGGGTACAGCATGGTGTCCCTTCCCCTCAGTCCATGGAGTGAGGGTACAGCATGGTGCCCCTTCCCCTCAGTCCATGGAGTGAGGGTACAGCATGGTGTCCCTTCCCCTCAGTCCATGGAGTGAGGGTACAGCATGGTGTCCCTTCCCCTCAGTCCATGGAGTGAGGGTACAGCATGGTGTCCCTTCCCCTCAGTCCATGGAGTGAGGGTACAGCATGGTGTCCCTTCCCCTCAGTCCATGGAGTGAGGGTACAGCATGGTGCCCCTTCCCCTCAGTCCATGGAGTGAGGGTACAGCATGGTGCCCCTTCCCCTCAGTCCATGGAGTGAGGGTACAGCATGGTGCCCCTTCCCCTCAGTCCATGGAGTGAGGGTACAGCATGGTGCCCCTTCCCCTCAGTCCATGGAGTGAGGGTACAGCATGGTGCCCCTTCCCCTCAGTCCATGGAGTGAGAGTTCAGCATGGAGTCCCTTCCCCTCAGTCCATGGAGTGAGGGTACAGCATGGTGCCCCTTCCCCTCAGTCCATGGAGTGAGGGTACAGCATGGTGCCCCTTCCCCTCAGTCCATGGAGTGAGGGTACAGCATGGTGTCCCTTCCCCTCAGTCCATGGAGTGAGAGTTCAGCATGGAGTCCCTTCCCCTCAGTCCATGGAGTGAGGGTACAGCATGGTGCCCCTTCCCCTCAGTCCATGGAGTGAGGGTACAGCATGGTGTCCCTTCCCCTCAGTCCATGGAGTGAGGGTACAGCATGGTCCTCTATAGTGATGAGTTTGATACTGAGTGTAAGCTCAGAGTACAGTGAGTGCCCACTTACCGTCACTCTCCGCCCTGACTAGCAGGGACATGCCCTTCAGCCGCTCCACATAGCCGGAGGACACATGGCCGGTTCCTCGATCATCCCACTGCCGGTCCTCATTCAGGGTGTAAACCTTGACCCTCCGCCGGGTGTCGGTCATGGTGCCGGATCCGCGGCCTCTCCCGCCCCGCACACAGCTCCCAGCAGGCCCGGAGCCTGCCCTGCCCCCCGCACCCCGCTTACCGGCCCGCGCTCCCCGGCCTGCCCTCCCCCGCACAGGCCCCGAGCCCCGGCCTTTCCTCACTCCCCTGGGCCGGCGTGCAGGCCCCGAGCCCCGGTCTCTCCTAAGGCTTGTGCCCCGGCACGGCGGGCCCGGAGCGCGCTTCTTTCTGAGCCCCGAGCGCCTGCGTTTCCCGACACCCGTTACCAGGCCAGCAGGCCCCAGCTTCCGACCGCCCCGCACCCCGCTCCCCCACCGCCACGGCCCGGGTCCCCGCTGCTTCCCGACACCCGTAACTCGGTCACCAGGCCGCGATCCCCGGCCTTTCCTGACCCCCGTAGCTGCTCTGTCAGTCCGCGTTGCCGGTTGAAGCGCGGCCCAGGATCCCCGGACTGCTCCCAGTGCCGGCCCCGGGGGGCCCCTCGCGTCTCCTGGCGGGAAAGTGAGAGGAGGAGGCCGGGCCTGAGCTGAGTGATCCCGGCCGCCACTCTCCGCTGAATCCCGGTGTCTCCGCCCTCTGTTCCCGGGTCTGGCCCTGTGTGTCAGTCACAGCACCGCGGCCGCCATGTTTTCCCTCTTCCTCCTCCTCCCTCGCAGCTCACCCCCCCCTCACACACACACACACCGCTCACCGGGCTGGGGCCACTGTCACCGCTAATAGCAACTTACTATCCCCTCACTATCCCCTCACAGCACCCACACTGATATTAATATCATCATCATAATAATAATAATATATTAATATAGGTCATAATATGCCCTCACTGCTAATAGCAACTTATCCCCTCACTGAAATATCACCAACCAGCACCCACACTGCCATTAATACCATAATAATAATAATAATATATTAATATAGGTAATAATATGATCTCACTGCTAATGCCAACTTATCCCCTCACTGAAATATCACCAGCCTGCACCCACACTGATATTAATATCATAATAATAATAATAATAATATATTAATATAGGTAATAATATGCCCTCACTGCTAATATCAACTTATCCCCTCACTGAAATATCACCAGCCAGCACCCACACTGCGATTAATATTATAATAATAATATATTAATATAGGTCATAATATACCCTCACTGCTAATAGCAACTTATCCCCTCACTGAAATATCACCAGCCAGCACCCACACTGTGATTAATACCATAATAATAATAATAATATATTAATATAGGTAATAATATACCCTCACTGCTAATAGCAACCTAATCCCTCACTATCCCCAGCCAGCACCCACACTGCGATTAATATCATAATAATAATAATAATAATAATAATATATTAATATAGGTCATAATATGCCCTCACTGCTAATAGCAACTTAATATCCCCTCACTATCCCCAGCAAGCACCCACACTGCGATTAATATCATAATAATAATAATATATTAATATATAGGTAATAATATGCCCTCACTGCTAATACCAACTTATCCCATCACTGAAATATCCCCAGCCAGCACCCACTGCTATTAATAGAATAATAATAATATATTAATATAGGTCATAATATGCCCTCACTGCTAATAGCAACTTATCCCCTCACTGAAATATCACCAGCCAGCACCCACACTGCTATTAATATAATAATAATATATTAATATAGGTAATAATATGCCCTCACTGCTAATACCAACTTATCCCCTCACTGAAATATCACCAGCCAGCACCCACACTGTGATTAATATAATAATAATAATAATATATTAATATAGGTCATAATATGCCCTCACTGCTAATAGCAACTTATCCCCTCACTGAAATATCACCAACCAGCACCCACACTGCGATTAATATTATAATAATAATATATTAGTATAGGTCATAATATACCCTCACTGCTAATAGCAACTTATCCCCTCACTGAAATATCACCAACCAGCACCCACACTGCGATTAATATCATAATAATAATATATTAATAAAGGTAATAATATGCCCTCACTGCTAATAGCAACTTATCCCCTCACTGAAATATCACCAACCAGCATCCACACTGCGATTAATATCATAATAATAATAATAATATATTAATATAGGTCATAATATGCCCTCACTGCTAATAGCAACTTATCCCCTCACTGAAATATCACCAACCAGCACCCACACTGCGATTAATATTATAATAATAATATATTAATATACCCTCACTGCTAATAGCAACTTATCCCTTCACTGAAATATCACTAGCCAGCACCCACACTGCTATTAATATGATAATAATATATCATAATATGCCCTCACTGCTAATACCAACTTATCCCCTCACTGAAATATCACCAGCCAGCACCCACACTGCGATCAATATCATAATAATAATATATTAATATAGGTCATAATATGCCCTCACTGCTAATAGCAACTTATCCCCTCACTGAAATATCACCAACCAGCACCCACACTGCGATTAATATCATAATAATAATATATTAATATAGGTAATAATATACCCTCACTGCTAATACCAACTTATCCCCTCACAGCAATATCACCAGCCAGCACCCACACTGCTATTAATATCATAATAATATATTAATATAGGTCATAATATGCCCACACTGCTAATACCAACTTATCCCCCCACTGATAATATCACCAGCCAGCACCCACACTGTGATTAATATCATAATAATAATAATAATATATTAATATAGGTCATAATATGCCCTCACTGCTAATAGCAACTTATCCCCTCACTATCCCCAGCCAGCACCCACACTGCGATTAATATCATAATAATAATAATATATTAATATAGGTAATAATATGCCCACACTGCTAATATCACCAGCCAGCACCCACACTGCGATTAATACCATAATAATAATAATAATATATTAATATAGGTAATAATATGCCCTCACTGCTAATATCAACTTATCCCCTCACAGCAATATTACCAGCCAGCACCCACACTGTGATTAATATAATACTAATAATAATATATTAATATAGGTAATAATATGATCTCACTGCTAATGCCAACTTATCCCCTCACTGAAATATCACCAGCCTGCACCCACACTGCGATTAATATCATAATAATAATAATAATATATTAATATAGGTCATAATATACCCTCACTGCTCATAGCAACTTATCCCCTCACTGAAATATCACCAGCCAGCAACCACACTGCTATTAATAGAATAATAATAATATATTAATATAGGTCATAATATGCCCTCACTGCTAATAGCAACTTATCCCCTCACTGAAATATCACCAGCCAGCACCCACACTGCTATTAATATAATAATAATATATTAATATAGGTAATAATATGCCCTCACTGCTAATAGCAACTTATCCCATCACTGAAATATCACCAGCCAGCACCCACACTGCGATTAATATAATAATAATAATATATTAATATAGGTCATAATATGCCCTCACTGCTAATAGCAACTTATCCCCTCACAGCAATATCACCAGCCAGCACCCACACTGCTATTAATATAATAATAATAATATATTAATATAGGTCATAATATGCCCTCACTCGTCATAGCAAATTATCCCCTCACTGAAATATCACCAGCCAGCACCCACACTGCTATTAATAGAATAATAATAATATATTAATATAGGTCATAATATGCCCTCACTGCTAATAGCAACTTATCCCCTCGCTGAAATATCACCAGCCAGCACCCACACTGCGATTAATATAATAATAATAATATATTAATATAGGTCATAATATACCTTCACTGCTAATAGCAACTTATCTCCTCACTATCCCCAGCCAGCACCCACACTGCTATTAATATAATAATAATAATATATTAATATAGGTCATAATATGCCCTCACTGCTCATAGCAACTTATCCCCTCACTGAAATATCACCAGCCAGCACCCACACTGCTATTAATAGAATAATAATAATATATTAATATAGGTCATAATATGCCCTCACTGCTAATAGCAACTTATCCCCTCACTGAAATATCACCAGCCAGCACCCACACTGCTATTAATATAATAATAATATATTAATATAGGTAATAATATGCCCTCACTGCTAATACCAACTTATCCCCTCACTGAAATATCACCAGCCAGCACCCACACTGTGATTAATATAATAATAATAATAATATATTAATATAGGTCATAATATGCCCTCACTGCTAATAGCAACTTATCCCCTCACTGAAATATCACCAACCAGCACCCACAATGCGATTAATATTATAATAATAATATATTAGTATAGGTCATAATATACCCTCACTGCTAATAGCAACTTATCCCCTCACTGAAATATCACCAACCAGCACCCACACTGCGATTAATATCATAATAATAATATATTAATATAGGTAATAATATACCCTCACTGCTAATAGCAACTTATCCCCTCACTGAAATATCACCAGCCAGCACCCACACTGCGATTAATATCATAATAATAATATATTAATATAGGTCATAATATGCCCTCACTGCTAATAGCAACTTATCCCCTCACTGAATTATCACCAGCCAGCACCCACACTGCGATTAATATAATAATAATATATTAATAAAGGTAATAATATGCCCACACTGCTAATAGCAACTTATCCCCTCACTGAAATATCACCAGCCAGCACCCACACTGCTATTAATATGATAATATATCATAATATGCCCTCACTGCTAATAGCAACTTATCCCCTCACTGAAATATCACCAGCCAGCACCCACACTGCTATTAATATAATAATAATATATTAATATAGGTAATAATATGCCCTCACTGCTAATAGCAACTTATCCCCTCACTGAAATATCACCAGCCAGCACCCACACTGCGATTAATAAAATAATATATTAATATATGTCATAATATACCCACACTGCTATCATATAATATATTAATATAGGTAATAAAATGCCCACATTGCTATCATATAATATATTAATATATGTAAAAATATGCCCACACTGCTATCATATAATATATTAATATATGTCATAATATGCCCACAATGCAATCATATAATAAATGAATATAGGTAATAATATACCCACACTGCTATCATATAATATATTAATATATAAATATATGTCATAATATGCCCACACTGCGATCATATAATATATTAATATATGTCATAATATACCCACACTGCGATCATATAATATATTAATATATGTCATAATATACCCACACTGCGATCATATAATATATTAACATAGGTAATAATATGTCCACACTGCTATCATATAATATATTAATATATGTCATAATATACCCACACTGCGATCATATAATATATTAACATAGGTAATAATATGTCCACACTGCTATCATATAATATATTAATATATGTCATAATATACCCACACTGCGATCATATAATATATTAACATAGGTAATAATATGTCCACACTGCTATCATATAATATATTAATATATGTCATAATATACCCACACTGGTGTGCTCTAAGCCTCTCACATTATTGGCAATATCGGTATCAATAGTGGCGATACCGATATTTGCCAAAATCCAGAATATCGGCTGAAGCGATTGCTCGGTCTATCCCTAAAATGTTATGTTTAAGCTCCCACCAAGTTTTCTGGAACATCCCAACTTTTATCAGCAAGTGCCCACTGTGTTATCTGCAATCCCACAATATTAACGTTAAGCTCCCCACCATGTTACATGCAAAACCCCAGCAAGCCCCCCTACCACCAAGTTATCTGAAAAAAATTCCACAGGCTCCCCACGAAGCCCTAATGATGCAATTAACATGCACTGCTCAAAAATAAAGGGAACCTTAAACAACACAATGTAACTCCAAGTTAAAGGACCACTATAGTGCCAGGAAAACATACTCGTTTTCCTGGCACTATAATACCTAAAGAATGCCCCCACCCTCAGGTCCCCCTCCTGCCCGGCTCTGGAAAGGGGAAAGGGGTTTAAACTTACCTTTTTCCAGCGCTGGGTGGAGAGCTCTCCTCCTTCTCTCCTCCTCCGTTCCGCCCCGTCGGCTGAATGCGCACGCGCGGCAAGAGCTGCGCGCGCATTCAGCCGGTCACATAGGAAAACATTCATAATGCTTTCCTATGGACGCTGGCGTGCTCTCACTGTGAAAATCACAGTGAGAAGCACGCAAGCGCCTCTAGTGGCTGTCAATGAGACAGCCACTAGAGGATTAGGGGGAAGGCTTAACCCATTGATAAACATAGCAGTTTCTCTGAAACTGCTATGTTTATGAAAAAAATAGTTAACCCTAGCTGGACCTGGCACCCAGACCACTTCATTAGCTGAAGTGGTCTGGGTGCCTAAATGTCCTTCAATCACACTTCTGTGAAATCAAACTGTCCACTTAGGAAGCAACACTGAGTGACAATCAATTTCACATGCTGTTGTGCAAATGGGATAGACAACAGGTGGAAATTATAGGCAATTAGCAAGACACCCCCAATAAAGGATTGGTTCTGCAGGTAGTGACCACAGACCACTTCTCAGTTCCTATGCTTCCTGGCTGATGTCTTTGTCAATTTTGAATGCTGGCGGTGCTTTCACTCTACTGGTAGCATGAGACGGAGTCTACATCCCACACAAGTGGCTCAGGTAGTGCAGCTCATCCAGGATGGCACATCAATGCGAGCTGTGGCAAGAAGGTTTTCTGTGTCTGTCAGCGTAGTGTCCAGAGCATGGAGGCGCTACCAGGAGGAAGGCCAGTACATCAGGAGACGTGGAGGACGCCGTAGGAGGGCAACAACCCAGCAGCAGGACCGCTACCTCTGCCTTTGTGCAAGGAGGAACAGGAGGAGCACTGCAAGAGCCCTGCAAAATTACCTCCAGTAGGCCACAAATGTGAATGTGTCTGCTCAAATGGTCAGGAACAGACTCCATGAGGGCCTGACATCCACTGGTGGGGGTTGTGCTTACAGCCCAACACTGTGCAGGACATTTGGCATTTACCAGAGAACACCAAGATTGGCAGATTCGCCACTGGCGCCCTGTGCTCTTAACAGATGAAAGCAGGTTCACACTGAGCACATGTGACAGAGTCTGGAGACGCCATGGAGAACGTTCTGCTGCCTGCAACATCCTCCAGCATGACTGGTTTGGCAGTGGGTTAGTAATGGTGTGGGGTGACATTTCTTTGGGGGGCTTCCCAGCCCTCCATATGCTCGCCAGAGGTAGCCTGACTGCCATTAGGTACTGAGATGAGATCCTCAGACCCCTTGTCAGACCATATGCTGGTGCGGTTGGCCCTGGGTTCCTCCTAATGCAAGACAATGCTAGACCTCATGTGGCTGGAGTGTGTCAGAAGTTCCTGCAAGACAACGGCATTGATGCTATGGATTGGCCCGCCCGTTCCCCAGACCTGAATCCAATTCCAGGAGATTGCAACTAAGGTGGGCACTTCCAGCAGCTGAGTAGGCTGCCTGCCTAGGAATAAAGCGAAGGTAGACACTGCAAAGAATTAATTTTGTTTGTTGTAATTTAAAGCATTAAAGTGGAAATATTTACATGGATACATAATGTGAGTTCATACCTCACATGGATAGAGAGAGGAAGAACATACCTTTGTAAATGAGGTAGTGCAAGCTTACAAGATAAAAAAAATAAAAGTAGGTAGCATGGGCCTTTCCATGTGGAACAATGTTCCCTCAATCTTTTTAAATAAATATTTATTAGGTTTTTTCAGATATAAAAAGACATACAATCACATATCATCAAAATTATAATAGCAGACATATCCGAGCCTCCCTATAAACCCCAGAGCTCTCAAGTTTCAAGTCAAACGTTTGGCAGGTAGCTGAGATTTAGTAATTCCATATTATTATTATTATGTTATTTATATAGCGCCATCAAATTCCACAGCGCTTTACAATGGGTGGAAGAACAGACATGCAGTTGTAACCAGACAAGTTGGACACACAGGAATAGAGGTGTTGAGGGCCCCGCTTAACGAGCCCACATGCTAAAGGGAGTGGGGTAAAATGACACAAAAAGGTAATATTAGTATTAGACTAGTGACAGTTGCTGAAGAGGAATCAGTCAGGAGCTATTAACAGTTTAATTGATACGCTTTTATGAAGAAGTGGGTTTTTAATGATTTTTTGAAGTAGTGGAGACTGGGTGAGCATCTAACAGAGGAGGGAAGTGAGTTCCACAGGAACGGTGCAGCCCTCGAGAAATCTTGAAGGCGAGCATCAGAGGTGGAAGTACGGACAGAAGATAGACGTAAGTCTTCAGCAGATCGTAAGGGCCTAGACGGGACATACTTGTGTATAAGGGAGGATAGATAGGTGGGAGCAGCATTTTGTAGCGATTTGAAAGCAAGAATCTGAATTTTAAATTGAGCTCTATATTTTATATGAAGCCAATGTAGGGACTGACAGAAGGGTGAGGCATGATATCATTGACAAACTTTAAGACAAAAGACAGATAAAAACAAAACACAATGTACTCTAGTCATATGAAATGCAATACAAGGGAGATAATAAAAGATACAGTTCAGATCTCAGTTATAAATATCATACATATAAAGCCATATCTTATATCCTAAACCCTTAATGCAAAAATACCATAAAGTGGCGTAGAGGGAGGAGAGAGTATGTAGATGTGAGGGGAGCGTCCTCAAACTAATAGGGCCTGATGTAGATCTATTCAGGGAATTCTCTCAGTTTTTATTATTAAAATATGTATGTATGTATATTCTTATGCTTCTTGGATGAAGTTATTCCATATATTCCAACCATAGACATGGGCTCTCTCTCCATCTTTAATTGAAAGGAGATTTGTGATTTTAATATAACGCATGTTGGAGGTGGCCCTGCGACCCGGTATGTACCCACTGGGCCAGCCTCTTCTCCTGGGTGGCCCTGCAACCCGGTATGTACCCACTGGGCCAGCCTCTTCTCCTGGGGGGCCCAGCAGCTGGTCACCTCAGGCCCCCCCAGAGGCTGGCCCTGCTGACACCCGGCGGGCGGGCGGACGCGCGAGGGAGCACTCTCCCTGGCTGAGTGCTTCCTCTTCAGCT